GTCACTGACACTAATGGCCACATTTGCTCCAGCCCACCGGTACCGTGTTCCCACTCATGATTTCCCGACAACTAGCGAGGCGAGTGGACGCACCCTGTTCTCATCTCTGCTGTCATCCTTTTCCTTAGCCTTCATTAATAAGTCATTATATAAATAATTCTAAACATTATATAATTAAGCAGTGAGTTACAAGTAGGGTTGGGTAATCGTTTGGGTTTTCAATACCAGTGCCAAATTTATACTTTTAAAATGGTTCCGGTGCCTAAACAGTGCCTGAAGCGATACTTATTAAAAAAAAATACAAAATTCCCCCAAAAATGATGGATTGGCCATTAGCACTATACACACATGATGTCTGTTTCATTCATACTGGGTGCCCTCGCACAGAAAATCCACTTATCCAGTCACAGAAGTAGCGGAACTCATGACCCTCCAGGAAATCCCTAATATGGACAAAGACATCGCTATTATAGCTGTAACTGAGCAAACAGAACATATAAACGTTTTTAATGATAAAACAAAGACAATAAACACTCGACTGCGACAATATAGTTTATCTGTGTTATTCAAGCCATCTCTGGTATTTTCATAATAATTAAGTATATTTATAATCCATTGCTAATCGATGTATTCTTTTTAAAGTAGCCTATGGAACATATTTTCTGCCTCATTCTGTGACAAGGAAGCATTTGACTGGTGTTGTGGAGTAAAAAGGTTATAATGTTCTCTTTTGTTGGAGAAGTTTAGAAATGTGAATACAAGGGAAGTTTAGCTTTAGGCATTTTAATTTAAGCATGTTTAGCTTAGTTAATGGAAGGCTACCTGCTGTCATCAGAACAAGTGTAATTACTGCATTCAAGCGCTCCTCGGATGCTCTCATTTCCCGAGTTGTGCTTCTAAGTCGAAATGTGAAAACAACATGGACACTCGCGTTACTACAAAGATGTGTTGGATTTGTATTATTAGAGCTTTCTGACTTGAGTTCACATGCATTTTCTCAGTCGGGAAATTGTTTTTCACGTGTGGTGCCGGTGATGATGCTTCTTACGTTTGTTTCAGAGAACCAGAGGACAAATATTTAAATCGATCGCTCAGGCATGGCACCGAAATCTGCGTTCTGATTCGGTTCTTGTACATACCGGTTACATAGGTACCGGTGCCATATTGATTAACCCTAGTTACAAGAGATGTTATTATGAATTTAGATGTGGCAAAAGGACTTTGTTAGGCACAAAATGCATAGACATCCCAGCAACCACTTCTGACCTAACTATATTCACAATATAGCGTGGTCTCATAGCTTATTGCTTTTACAAAAAGGTTACTATATAATAAAAAAATATTAAGAACACAAATTTACATTAAAACTGTATTTAAAGCTAATTTTAGTGGCATCATTCTAATAGAAGATCTAGTCCCTGATGCTTAACTTAAGCTGAAGCTAAAAAATTTTTTTTGTATGTGTTCTGTTGAGCATTATATATATTTTTTTAATATTTTACGGCCTTATATATATATTTTAATATTTTTATTAAAATGATATTTAAATTATTTTATTATTTTATTAAAAACATTTTTAGAGGACTGCCACATCTTAGAAGTTATTGATGCCTTAATAGCACACACAAAGAATGCTGCATTTTGTTGTGAGGTTTTTAGTTGATGTCCAGATTTGGTCCAAAAGTGCAGACATCCACTCATCAAAAGTTGTCCCTTCTGTCCTTTCCTCCTCTCATCCTCTCCTCATCTTTTTCCCCCTGTGCAGGCGTGATGACGCAGCTGCTCTGTGCTCTCAGGTCATTAGCCATGTGCCTTCGTAGTTTCATTAACGAGGGAAGGGAGCTCATCATTGGCCTACCTCAAATGACGAGGGTAATTAGTTAAGTAATAATGTGGAGCCATAGTCATGGCTCTTAAATGCCCATTGATGACAGTCAGATCGGAAGCAAGGCTTTCCTCGCCTATTAGCAACACACAGAGATTGCAGGCCTCATCACTGAAACCACACACTGACATAATTACACGCATGACACTCACACACACACTCTCTCTCTTTAGTGCCAGTGCCTAATGAAGGCATGTTGTATTTGGAGAAGTCCTGAGGACCTGAATACTGATTACGAGTGCTTGTTGGTTTATGTGCTCATTTTTGGAAAAGAGGCAGCAGTGTTTGCATTGCAATGTCTGAAGTTTGTTAGCCCGCTCAAAGCGTGAAAATGCAGCTTTCTTTTAGCGCTTCCAATGACAAATAAGGTTATTTGAGAGCATGGAGGTGTTATCTTTAACAGATATCTGGATTTTCTTTATCTTTAGGTGATGAAATTCAAGGATATTTTCTCTTGCAGTTAACATCAAGGTCAACATACTGTCATACAGTCACCTAGCTTGATGTGTTACATGCTGGGTGAATTAATTAATTTAGAAGAGCTCTGCCAGTTTTTCGAAGGTATACATTTTTATTTTGGTCTTTGGCAATTAAAATGGGCCGTGAGATTATGCACATAACATATGTGTCTGGAAGATCTGTAGAGAGCTGATGTGTTAGAAAAGCTGGGATGGTGAAAAAAAAAATAGACAAAATTAGGCCAAATAAACACAAAATCTTGTCCCTTTTGCTCACATTCAAGGAGTTATTTATTTATTTCTATGCTATGTGAGAAATGGTGAATAGTATAACCGTACAGTGTTTTAGTGTTATCTATCTATATATTATTAAAGTTTTTATTTTTCTGTTTAGCTTTCATTTAGTTTTAGTAATTTTAATAGTTAAGATTTTTGTAAGTTTTAAGTTTTTCATATAATTTCATCTTTATTTTCTTTGAGCTTATGAACCAGCACAGTTAGCGCACGTGATCTCTAAATGACCGGCGATTGAAGAAGAAGGATTGAAAATTAGATGGTAAGCAAATAAAGTAGAGAAGTAGAAACAGAGCAAGTTCTGACGTTTTCGTAAAAGATTACAAAGACAAACACTTCAGTATTACTTTTTTTACTGTTAAAAACTATCTCTGTCAATAGAACAAAAAAAAATCACAATTATGTACAGTACTCATCAAAAAATTGGAAACATTATGATTTTTTAATGTTTTTAATGAAATCTCTCATGCTCACCAAGGCTGCATTTGTTTGATCAAAATTACAGTAAAAACCGTAATACTGTGAAATATTATTACAATATTAAATAATTATTTTAAATTTGAATATAATTAAAAAATATAATTTATTCCTGTGCAAAGCTGAATTTTCAGCAGCCATTACTCCAGTCTTCAGTGTCGCATGATCCTTCAGAAATCATTCTGATATGCTGATTATGAACAGTTACTCAGAATTATAATACTATTTCACAATATAAAGTGATTAAAAAGTTATTGTGATATGTGACCAAGTATGGTAACCCATACTCGGAATTAGTGCTCTGCATTTAACCCATCCAAAGTGCACACACACCGTGAACACACACCCAGAGCAGTGGGCAGCCATTTTTGCTGCGGTGCCCGGGGAGCAGTTGGGGGTTCGGTGCCTTGCTCAAGGGCACCTCAGTCGTGGTATTGAAGGTGGGAGAGAGTGCTGTCCATTCATTCCCCCCACCCAATATTAGTGTTTTCACTGTTTTTTTTAACACACAAATGCAGTCTTCATTAAAAACTTTTTAAAAAAATTAGTTTTCAAACTACTGTAAACCTGTGAACCTTTTATTAAATCATTTTTACACTTTACTTTTTCCAGCCCCCCTTGTGACCCCTTGTGGGTCACCAGACGCCAGCTTGAAAACCCTTCTCTTAGATCATTCCTTTCCCTGACATTCATGCACGTTCATGTGTTTTAAATCACATGCTTAAAACATGAAAATGTGTCGAATTTCTGTCTTGTAGTGTGCATTTGCCATTAGCCAGTTGAACTGAAGCTCTAGAGAAGAGCAGGCAAGCATCTGGAGTATAAATGGACAAATAGAGGTTGCCTTGGTGAGGGCAGATTATCTACTATGCCCTACCAGAGCCCCTCATAGTACTCATAATAAATTCCAATAAGCCGTTCATGTGCATTTACCACTATACTTAACTTTACCCTAGGCGCCCTACATACTTACTATACTTTATCCTAGGCGCCGTGTGCACGATGGGGTGTGTACATATGCCAGTAATCAGTCTGTCAGACACTTCATACCCATACCCATCTGTGCTTTCATTGGGCTTAAATAAAGCCATGCTGCATCTCTTAGGTGGTTGAGGCTTTGTTGACACATTGTGTGCACAACGCCGTGCACAATGTTAGGGTTGATATTTCTTACCGTGTCACTACCACAAACCCACGGATCCTTCATTTCGGAGCTGTACTTAATTTTGATGCCGGTGTTTGCAGTTGGTCTGTCACTCTTGACGCCCACTCTGTGTGTTCTGTCATGAACAGACTTTTAACCGTGCATTGTGGAGGAGGGCGAAATGTCAGTCAACACAGCAGGAAAATTATCAGTAGAAGGCGGCAGGGAGCTGGTTGGGGGTGCGGGGGGGTGATCAGGGGGAAGTGCCCTGGGTAGAAATGGTTCGATGATGAGGACCAGATTGGAGTGGCAAGACAGTAGGAGAATGATGAGGAAACAAAAAATAAAAACAACTTTTTTTTTTTTTTAAGAACTTATCCTTTTTTTGCCCGAAGACTGCACGGCATGCCTTCGCAAACATGCAAACATCGAAAGCACTCTCTCAAAAAACTACAGCGACATTAATGCAGTACATTGCTGACTGAGATGCACAAACACAGTGATTTCACAGACTGAACAGAGTGTTTGTTTTAGTCCCTTTCATTTTTCTATCAAGTGATGTATTATCCTTATGAGAGCTCTGATAGTTTGTCTGCAAGGTGACACAAGCCAAATATGAACAACATAGTTCTTATATCCTGTGGGCTGGCCATTTGTAAAAGTCGGACAGTTCCTTGATGCAATAAGTAGTCTTATTAGTAGCTAAACCACTGTAACAACATCTTTTGTGCTCCATCCACAGGTAGAATGTAAGAAGGCCCAGCCGAAGGAAGTGATGTTTCCTCCAGGGACGCGGGGGAGAGCCAGAGGTCTGCCCTACACCATGGACGCCTTTATGCTGGGAATGGGCATGCTGAGTAAGTGTCATCTCAATTTCCTGCTTACAATTATTTAGGGCTGCACGATAAATCGCATGCGATATTTAATGCTCATCTTGTCAGAAAGACGGTTCTGTAATCAGCGGTAAATCGCCATCACGTGCGTGTGATGGAGATTTACCGCTGATTACAGAACCGGCTTTACTTAGAAGATGCGCGCTAAATATCGCATGCGATTTATCGTGCAGCCCTACAATTATTCATACATTAACATTGTCAATCATTGCTGTAATCTGATCATTGACTGGGGTGCTTATTTAAAATCAGCATGAAACTGAATTCAGTAGGGCTGTGTATCACCAGCAAAGTCACGATACGATGCGTATCACGATACGGGACTGCACTGAGTTTCACCTCAGAAGAATTTAGTAAAACAGCTTATTATTAAACACTGCATACCAATTATTAAACACTGCATACCATAGGGCAATCATCTTAACATTGCTGGTAGGTTATCATTGCACAAATCAACACGTTTAAAAAAATTAAAATCGGAAGAGTTCTAAACTAATGCGCTGTCTTCACTGTAGCTCACGCTGACACGTTTAGTCAGATCACTCTTTAGACAAACTTTTTAGCGCTGCCCCGCAATTTTATCAATAAAATAGCTTAATCACTGAAGAGCTACATTATCTTTCTCAACAAGGAGCTGGTAACATCATTGTATCTAAAGGAGTTAAAGCCACAGCTTCACTGTTAATAGAGAAACGTGGCAAAACGGTGGTAATTCATACATTCACAGCCTCTCTCTCTCTCTCTCTCTCTCTCTCATATAAATGAACACTTGATAAATCACACTTTTCTGATAATAGAATATTGAAGTGGAGATCGCTAAACTGCAAGCTAACCGGTATTTTCAGAAAGCAAGCGCGTTTATCCACAGTGAGGACAGAGCGCGTACACATGGTTGCTAGGTTGACAAGATAAGTAACACATTTAGCAGAAGTTTCCAAGTGGGAAGTTTTGAGGATTACGTCTCTTCATATCAGGCAACCCCAGTTGTGTTCCTCTGCGGCCAGATCAAACCTCGTTGTAGCCTATATATTATGCTCTATTAATTTTTTTTTTTTAGAAACCTTGCACTTTTATACTCTGTTTAAATGGTGTTCTTGTATTAAAATTAAGCGCGGTCCACTGCACCACACGTGTCGCAATATCGATACAGGGCCAGCTTTATTTTATCCAGCGGGATTTTATCCATTACCTATGGACCAGCACAGTTAGTTCACCGTGATCTCTATATGACTGGTGATTGAAGGAGAAGGGTTGAAAATTAGAGGGTAAAAAAGTAAAGTAGAGAAGCAGAAACGGAGCAAGTTCTGACATTTTCGTAAAAGATTGCGAAGACAAACACTTTACTCTTTGCAATAATGTGCACCAATGAATCATTCAAAGTATGACCACAAACGTCTATGATGAAAATAAATGGGGTCAAATTTTATTTCATGTTGACTTTGAAATTGATTGAACCTTATGATTGAGTCTTGTTCGCTAATTGTGTGTAAATATAATATTTTAAAATATAAAAAAATTTAAATATGAAAAGTATAATATTGAATAGTGCTATTTCAATAATATTTTACAAAAATATTTTATAAATAAAGGGCACTATTTTGCATATCTCTATGTTGGATCTACATTATTATATACCAGGGCCATAACCACCATAGACATTGAGAGGGACAAGTGCCCCCCAATAATTAGAAATGGAAAAACTGTACCCCCCAATGTTTGAAATTCTTGCACTGATTTGCTGCCCTCCATTACACAGCGCTTGTTGTTAGGATGACAAAAAGCTTTATAAGTTATATTTTCAGCCTGGTCTCACTCAGCGGGCTAACAGCACTCGTCAATGTCAAAATAATTGAGATGGCCAATCAAATCAATGTAGGCAGAGTTTACTGTTCACAGAATTAGTGTGAATTCCAGCGCGAAGCGTCAGTTTAACGTTGAAAGAGAGTGAGGTAAGATGGAAGTTGCCAATCATTTAATATTAGTCAACTGTTTTACAATAGAAATATGGCCATTTGAGAGAGAGGGAGAGGGAGGAAAGGTGCGTGTATGAATTACCTGTGTCTGTGCGTCTCTCTCTACAAACAATGAAACAACGAGTTTACTTATTTAAAAACATTGATTTTACCGATTCAGTATCGAAGCTATTTTATAATTAAAAGTCGTGGGGCAGCGTTGACAACATCTTTCTGTGCTCCTGAGTCCTGAATGTTTCTGTGTGCATGCAGTACGATCTCTGATTTTGTGTGAGAGTGGTGTGTGTGTGTGTGTGTGTGTGTGTGTGTGTGTCAATGAAAGCGGCGCATTAATATAGAACGGTGATATCTATCTATCTTATCTATCTATCCATCTGTTTGTCTGTCTGTCTATCTATCTATCCCCCAATGTTCAAGACATGGTTATGGCCTTGTTATATACTGTTATTTTTATTTACATATAGTTTTCATATAAAATGTATACATTATTACAGACACTAACACTTTTATTAGTGCAAAATTATTATTGAATCAGACCCACTGATAGGAAATTCTGTGTTCTAGATCCAGTGACTCACTGTGTGTGATTTTAGAGCAAATGTTGCCTCAAGCTGACCTCAGACAAATGGTCGTTTCAGAATGATACTTGTAAATATGTCTATTCATGCTTTAAGCATAGATGCTGAGCTTGATGGCGTGGAACAAGTGCATCACTGTAAACTCAGAGAACAAAATGCCAAATCATAATGTTGGAACAGGCAGTCAGGGAGAGGCAACAGCCCATTGAAAGAGCTCCTCAGAGAGAGCACTGGGACTGGCGCTCCGATGCTGGCACTGCACTCGCGTTAACGTCTCCACGCTCTGCTAGCGGCTCTACGACTGCCATGCCAGTTGAAACTCCTCTCCATTTCTGCTGGGAGCCCTGCTTCAGAGTCTTCACGGATACGACACGTGCGTGCTATCACAGAGATGAGCACTGGAACCCGTCAAACACCAGAGCCATCATCCCGACATCGGCAAGAGCTTGTCTTTACGTTTTTCTGTAGATTTGACAAGAGATAATTACTGTGAGATTGATCGTCTGCTGAAAGTAACTGAAGCAAATAAATCGTTTGATGCCTTGTGCAGAATGCGAATGGCATCTAATGGGTGAAGCTGCAGGAGAGGTCGTCCTGCCCATAATTTGACTTGATGAAGCATCCTCGCCGGGCCCACATGAAATATGCTATTGATATTCAGCCAGCTCCGCTTCCAGCCCCACCAAATCCCTAACCGACCCTCACCAGAGCAGGGCTCCGCATTATAGTGATAAATGAAGAGGAAAATGTAAGTAATGTTGAGTTATGAACCTATGATTTCAACAAACTGACCTCAGAAGAGGGTGAATTTGTCCGTTCGGTTATTCTGCATATGTAAGCACACGAAGAGACCTCGCGCCAACAACCGGTGCCCCCTAGCATTTTAGGAGTTTGATATCATTCGGTTTCACAGTGCCAACAGCGTGATGTCAGCTCAAGTTGACTCGAGTTGAGGTTGATGAAATTACACCGCAAGTGGGTGTCATGAGCTTATTAGGGTTTAAAGCAGATCAGTGTTGAACAAACAGAAAGGGAGGAAGACAGAGACAGTGGGAGCAGAGTGTCGGTTAAAGGGGTTCACGCTCACTCGATCGCAACACTGTCTTATCTAAATGAAATTGGAAAGCAGGACAGCGAAACATTCCTTTTGGCAATTTGCATACAAAAATCAACAAGGCTCATTATTTAAGGAACCGCAATTCCTTATGTGCCGAAATCTCATTAGAGCCCTGCTCTGAGCAACGGTGTTTATCACACCTAATCGAGCTATTTATCATTATTGTGCTGGGCCTCATGTATGTTTGCTAAAATTAGTACACATCTCAGCCAGTGCAAAGTGCAGCTTTACCAGATGGATAATTTATTTTACAGTGAATCGAAACTGTTGAGCCATAAAATGGGCACATTAGCATGCATATTAATAACGCAAATAAGAGGGCGAGGCTGTCGCCACCAGGCCAGATTAAGTGACAGTCTTTATTTACAGCGTTGCCGGGAAACGGAAGGTGTCTGCTCTGGTGACAGTGTAGCTTAATGAGTCTTCTCCTCAGGCTCAGGTACCTCTCTTTCTCCCCCTTGCATTTAGCGTCGTCTGGCTCAGTCTTGTCTCCCGCATTGGGGCCATGACTACAACATGCAGTCTTGCCACTTGTTGTAGGACGTCAAAGCTATTGGAGCTGGTCTCATGGTGTGGTCCTTTGTTGAGCCCACATTGAGGCTTAGCTCGGTCATTAAACTCAGAGGAGAGCCATTTAGGTCTGACAATTGAGCTGAATAGTTTTGACAAGGAGGCAGAGGAATGTCTCTGGGAAAAATTGGTACCCTACGTGAATATTATTATTATTTTTTTGTGTTTAGCTCAGCCAAAAGTGGCATTAAACATGTTTTTGTTCAACTTTTGTTTCCCCGGTATTTTCACAAATACAGCCTTATTGTGAGCTTTTGTGTGAAGACTCTTCACTGGTGAACAGCAAGACATTATTCAAGTTGAGAGTGTTTTTTTTTGTTTGTTTGTTTTTTAAAGAAAGAAAGAAATTTAAAAAAAATTCAGCATGGATGCATTTATTTAATCAAAAGTGACAGTATAGACATTTATAATGTTTCTATTTCAAATAAATCTGAAAGATCAAGTGATACTGAAGACTGGAGTAATGGCTGCTGAAAATGTAACTTTGCCATCACAGGAATAAACTTCATTTTAAAATGTATTAAAATTAGGGCTGTCAGTCGATTATAATTTTTAAACTAATTAATTACATGATGTTTCGATTAATTAATCTAATTAATCGCAATGAATCACAAAATAAATTTGACTGTGAAAATACCCACAAAAGATTATTTAAAGCTGTTTTTGTGTTAAATGAGAAAGTATGAAGTAGACATTACAAATTGTAGCTTTAGAACTATTTTATTTGATTCAACATACAATTACAGTTTAAAGTCATTGAAAATACTTATTTCACATAAACATTTAGGCTACAACAGCCTAACATAAACTATGGAACATAAAAGAAGATAATTTGAGAAACATCTCAGTATTTTTTGTTCATACAATGAAAGTCATTGGTAACCAAAAGAGCTTTGTTACTAACAGTCTTTAAAATACCTTATTTTATGTTCCATAAAAGAAAGGTTTGAAACGACTTGAGGGTGAGTAAAGGATGACAGAACTATCCCTTTTTTTGGGTGAACTATCCCTTTAATGTTTTTATTTTTATCTTTATTATTATTATTATATATATATATTTTTTTTTAATAAATGATACTCTTAAGAAAATCTGCCAGCAGGTGGGGGTAAATATCTTTGTGTCGTTCATTCATTCGAATGACTAATTCATTCAGGAATGAAGTAAACGGCTCTCTTTATGAATTCGTTCAAAACGCGGATTCATTCAGAAATTAAACACTGCTGTGTTTCTCGGAGATGCGCAAACAATTCTGCTATGGCTTTAAAGGTAATGTTCTCTGCTAAATTGAGCAAAATCCATATTATTGTGTTTAAAATATAACACAATATCAACTTCTTATTTACTGAAATGCTGTATAAAATCACATTTAAACTTGTGCTATTCGGGACAAAATCAGCACCCGTGTGATACTGCTCTCGCTATTGCTCTCACTGCTCATGCGATATCGCTTATCATATGATATAAATGAGACAAAAACACATACAGGGGCATTTTTGCACCAATATCTTGAATTTTAGGGCATACCTGCATTTATGGAGTTGCTGCACTGCATCGTATTTGTCAACAGTCAACTGTATGAAATGTAAGATGATGTACAGGTCTGGGGGCAGGGCCAGTGCGTTAACTGCGCTAAAATATTTTAATCACGTTATTTTTTATAACTAATTAATTAAGTTAATGCGTTAAACTGACAGCCCTAATTAAAATACAAAAGTTATTTTAAATTGTAATAATATTTCCTAATATTATTGTTAATTATATATCCTATTATTATTATTATGATTAAGTAAATTCAGCATTGTTGAGCAAAAGAGACTTGTATGAACTGTATCCCACAACTGTATCCCAAGCTTGGGTGAGTTCAGAAAACTGAAAAGTTGTAGGCCTCGAAGCACTGCTGATTTCTCTTTTCTGCGTTTTGTTCCCATAGGTGTTGGCCCTACCAGTAAGTTAATCCCCTACTGTCAACAGAGCGCCATCCCTCTGCATTTAAAGTAATCTCTTTAAATGTCACAGGAAAAGCCCATGTCATGTATATTTAGTCTGGGCATCTGGCATCTCTGCTCCTTAAGAGAAGAGTACACGGAGCCGCTGTAGTTTCGAGAGAGCTGGAGGAGCCCAGATATTAAGGCTTCGCAAACATATGATACAGCAATTGGAAGGAGCAAAATTTAAGATGGCCACCTTGCTGCAGAACATTTAAGCATGTAGTTCGGAGGCAAGATTACAAGGTAAAGCAGAAAGGATGGAGAGACTGGAATTCGTCATTGGGTTTAAATATTTCCAAAGATTCTTTTTTGTTGGGTGTGAACTATCCATTTAAGGAGAATGGGTTCTGCAACATTTTTCTGTATACTTCAGGCAGTAGTATATTTAATACTTTTATCCCATCCTCCTTCTCTTCCTGATTCCCTCAGATTTGAACTTTCCTCAAGAATGGTCTTTGATTTTAAAACTGACTCTGTGGTTTACATAACATTTACCGCAACCAGCACAAAAGCCTCCTTTCAGAACCAGTCAATAACGACAGAATACTTCATAAACGCGAGTTATTTCTTTTAAGCCTCTACTATTGCTCTGAACCTCACCAAAGAAACTTTGACAGGATCAATATCTTCACATAGACTACTTCCCACCAGTCTGCCTCTGCAATGTCAAACCGAATTGATCCGAGTTATGTCTAGCCTAACTTGCGGTGGAGTATATTTATTCTCTCCAGCACCAGCTCACATTTGTGGCCGAGAGCCAAGGATAAGCCACTAGCGATCATTTGGTGCAAGCTCGCACTGTGCACAGCCAATAACTATTAGCGAATTCTTTCAGGTGTGTTTGGGAGGGAAGAATCGGGGCTGATAGTGAATTACACGCTTTCTGTAGAGTCCTTAAAAAGAGGAGGGCATAGTGGAGTCTATATATATTGCTTTCACGTGACTACAGCGGCCCACTCCCTCAGGCGTTTGCAGCAACAATATGGCTAATATGTTCACTTGCATTGGAAAACGTTTTTTTTCCTTCTGTTTGAAAGCCATCCAGATAATTAGTGTCTAGGCTCACACTGTAATAAGCCATTGTGACAGAATAAGAACAATGGGTCTTTGGGCTCTAGCCTGGTAAAGAGGGACACGCAGCGGCCCGTCACTCAGTGCTGGCAGAGAGACAACTTGAGCATGTGCGTTGGGTCGCATCCCACTTTTCCTTAACAGTATGAGCAGGATGCGTTCCAGTGTTGTAAACGCTGCTGATGGTGTGTTTTCGCCTCACTCCAAAACAAGATGTATTTCAGATAATAAAATAGTCAAGGGGAAGCCAGCTCACTCGCCTGAGCGTCATCATTAAAAAGTTCTGCCTCAGCAAAGATGGCGAGAGGCGGAACAAAACAGATTGCGGACTTTTGCATCGTTTCGCTCCACTTTCGAATGACTTCTGCAATCGCTCAATCATATTCGTGCCATCCTGTCTGTATTAGCGCGCAGGAGGCCGAGGCTGCGTGGCACGGAGGGACTTTAATCCGTGATGTCCTGCCACAACTATCAGCCTATCATTGTCTCGCTTTGTCGTGTCCTTCATGAGCGATTAGCCCGGGCTATAAAAGAAGGGTTATCGATCAATGACAGTGGAGAGGTGAGAAAAATAGGAGGGAGGGAGAAAGAGATGACAGCCACAGACATGTCCGTTCCCTCAGCAAGGGAAAAAAGAGGGATGTGCCCCAGGGAATGAAGCGAGATTATGTTTTGTGATGTTTATGCTGTTCATCACTGCAAACTGAAGTTCGCTAGCCAGCTAATCTGTTACATTGCAGCCTAGCGGGGAGGGTTGCGGTTATGTGGTGAAAGAGGAGCCATTTCCACTTGCGTCTTGCTTGTATGTGTATTTTAAATGGCATACTGATTTATTGGTGTAACAGGGAAGCTCTGGGCGGTCTGAGCAGTTTATCACATCCCCGGATTTTCTTCTCTCCCCTCAGGTTATCCAAACATTGTAGCAACGTATGGCCGAGGATACACTGGTTTCGCCCCAAGCTACAGCTACCAATTCCCTGGTAAGTTCCATCTTGTTAAGCTCTGTATGGTGCTTCTCTCTCCTGCTGCCATCTGGTAATGGCCTCCCTGCTGACCGGCTAACTCACAAACACCAACAAGCACCCGTCCCTGCCTCTCGCTACAGCCCCATGCTGAAAACTTTGCCGTGGGACTTTATACTTAAATACACATTCACATACTCAAACATTATACATCTTAATGTACAAAGACACGCACATATTGCCTTGTTCGGCCCCCTGCTGAAGCCCCACATCCACATGCTTGTAGCTTTACAGATAACACCGCCACACAAGATGTTTTTAAAACCCATGTGAGCTACAAACAAACCCATGGGCATCTAATTTTCTCTCCTTTCACAAATTTATCCCAGACAAAGAGGGGTCTTTTTTGTCTGGGATAAATGTGATGCAGCAAAGCAGCTCTATTATTTCACGGCTCAGTTCTCAGAACTGAGCTTTGATAACCTGATGGTCCAAAGCAGAATCAAAACGTGCGTGGTATATTTTAGTATGATGTTCTGCTCACTGGTTTATCTGGTACTGCTTTAATTGCACCTTATGTGTTTCTGATACACGTGTGTTTGTTTTTCATCTCTACTGAAAATAAAATAAAAAACAAAAACAATGGTCTAAGCCAGTCTGGTTAGCAGGTTTAAGGTGGACTATCTGGTCTAAGCAAGATCAGATAAAAAGTTTAAAAACATACAGTATTAAAAAAAAACATATGTACCATATAAACTAAGCTATATATAAATTTGTCCACCCACTAAACCAGGTCTGCCTAAAAGTATTTTGTGTATATTTACTTTTAGGCAGACCTCATTTAATGGGTGGATGAATTTGTTTATCACACTGGTCTTCCAACGTGACCAACTGTTAAAGGGGTCATTGGATGCCCATTTTTCACAAGATGATATGATTCTTCAGGGTCTTAATGAAAAGTCTGTAACATAGTTTGTTTAAAATTTCTCAATGGTAGTGTAATAAACACAGTTTTTACCCTGTCAAAAACTGTTTTTTCAGAGCAAGCCATTTTGTAGCATTTTCCTTTAAATTTTAATGAGCTCTGCTGACCCCGCCCCTCTCTTCCGAGCTGCTCTCAGAGGGACTGTTTACTTCGCATTCATCGTGAAACTTGCTAATTAGCACATTATTAGGAAAGGCGATTTGCAAAGATTCATTAAAAAACCTTACACTCACTTCTTCTGTAAGTGAAGCTGGATCACGAATGATTTGCACGAACATAGACGCATTTAGGTAGATCGGGGGCGCATTCCCTTCAAAAACAAACGTAATCCACTGCATCTTCAGCGGCTCAGATGTCGGGAGTAAATGACGACTGCAATGTGGCGGACTGATGACACTTTAATCAGGGCGGGTCTAAGGTAAGGAGCCAGTCCAGTCTGTGCCGAAACGCTACTGTCAATCAAACAGTAGCGGGGCCTGTTTTTGTGATGTCACACAGACAGGCATCTGAGATCGGCTCGAATTGAGAAAGGGGTAAAGATTTTAGTAGATAAAAAAAAAAACACTGGGTGGATTTTTATCATTATAGGGTGATTGTGTACACACACTGCCAACACACATTTCAGTTCAAACAACTTGTAAAAGTGCATGTAGCACTCAATGACCCCTTTAAAATCCCAAGACCCCTTTAAAAATCAGCAGACCAGTTTAGACTGGTCCGTGCTGTTTTATTGTCTTTTTTCAGCAAGCACCACACTAGTCCAAGTAGATGTATCTGCTGTGTGATGCTTTTCATTAATGTAAAAATTATGCATGGAATAATTAAAAAAATATAGGAACTTCATTTGAATATTTTCTTCATAAACATGAGACAACAGCTCTTGACAATTTCAAAATGGTGTTGTGTTCATGCAGTTGATCTTCAGCTGTACGTATGTAGCTGTGTATGTAGCCTCCCTCATCTGCAATCAGAGTATCTTCAAGAGGGGTTGCAACCTTATTTATGTGCATAAATTGTTCATGTTTGTCAGTTGCTCAGAGGCCCTCACTGGCGATGAAATTCTTATGTTGAAATGGCTGTTAAGCGTAAAGGTGGCTGTTTGTCACATCGAGAACACTTAGCCATCTTCCCCTTTGATGCCAGCACACAAATAAACCTCAAACAATCCGTACAGCCGTCCCAAACTAACCATCGAGGGCAGGTGGAATATTCCAGTGGCAACTTGGATAAATAAACGGAGACGAACGAGAGTAATAGATAATGAGGAAGTGTAAATTGGCAGGCGCTTGAGGAAGCGCTACTGTGACTAAGCCCGGGTAGGGGGATTAAAACATCATTGTGGGCTCACTCTCTTCAGCGAGAAGTCTTAGCCCAGCGCCATGTTAGCAACAGTTCTGAGCCTAACAACATAGCAAATCACCTCTGAAATATATGTGTAGGCCTATATCTAAACGCTGAACTCCCACCTGACGCTAAAAATAACCGGCCGAATAAACACATGCAGGTCCGCCCATGCCGGAAGCCTCATAACGCTAGCTGAAAAGCAATCGAGTGTATCGAATGCATATTTTTAGTGATATTGACCCTGGATATAGAGCTGAAGGTCTTGCTGGCATATGACTCACTAGCAAAATAGACTGCAAACCGCTCGACTTAAACTGCAGTTCTAAGTGCAAAAAGGGGCATTTTTTCTCCGCTCATTTAATCCCCTGGCTTTTCTTGTAAAATGATCTGCCCAGTGCCACTCCAAAAGGGTCCCCTCGCTCTTCCATTTCACATGTTGTCAATGACCTTGCTGTTGAACATATAGGGTGAAAAAGCTTTTTTTCCAGACTGCTCGTAGCACCTGGGATTTACTATAAGCTTGGCTGCAGCGAAGGTTAAAAATTGACTGTTGAAAAGAGAGAAGGTAATTTTTTTTCAAGGCACTTCTTGTAATCTGCACAGGTGACTGGATTTGTAACAGGTCACAGGGGATGGCATGCGTGTGTTTTCTCTGAACTGTGCATGTATGCAAGTTACTGTGTGGACTTTTAATGAAAACAAGAACTACATATTGCTTATCAATGGCACTCGGGTGGAAGTAAATCCGTGTAATGCTACAGTATGTGCGTATGATCGATATACAGTGTTTTTACCTTTCTAGTTCTCCTCAGGGAACAGCTTTGATCACGGATGGATTTAGTGTTTTCTTTGCCCCAAAGACATACAGGCATAAACAACCAATGGTGCTATGGCAGAGTTTCTGAGCAAGTGTTGCTGCTATTTTCGTTTTCATACTAACATGTCCTCTGGTAGATAAGATAAGAAACAGCTGACAGGATCAGGCCACCTTCACTGTTATCTCCCCCTTCGCCAGGACACACACGCACACACATTGTTCTTCTCATTTTTATGAGACCGAGAAGGGTGTTTCAGAGGCTATAAATCCATGAGAAACACATCTAATGCTCAGTGTCTCTCCAGCAAGCCTGTGGATCCATCGGGTTTTCCCCAAGCTGTGAGAGAAGATCTTCTCATTTTGGCGTAAGTCTGTAGATTAAGGCTGCATTGATCCAGAGGAGCGCAAGTAGAGGTGGTCTTATAAAAGATAATTTTATAGTTCGACCCTGTTGTTGTTTTGTTTATTCCCTCTGTTTGATCTCGCCCCACATGGGTGCCAACCGCTTTTGGTTTTCCAAGCGGTGAATCATCTCTCCTCATCTTCGTTCTGCCACGATTTCTGGCATTTGATGTGGCTGGTGCTGATGAGAGCTGAAGGTTGTTCCGACATTAAGGTCGCCACCCCTCTCAGCCCAGTCGGAATGAACAGTGTGTTAGAACACCATCCTTTAGCTCTCATTCCTCCATTTATCTCTCCGTTCTCCTCAGGAGGAAGAACAGGGAGAGCTGAAATTGATGCTTCACTTTTGATTAGGGCCCAATCAGTTATGCAAACACTGAGGTTGTCGGGCACGGAGCCCCTCTCCATTCTCTATGGCGCAGCCCTCTGCCGGTCCCATCATACAGTTAACACAACCGGGCTCGCAGGATATTGGAGTGCAAACAAACAAATAAAGATGGCTATTTGGCTGACCAGAGATGATCTTTGTGTGGGAGGCAAGGGAGATAGAGAAGAAGAGGAAATTGGGAGATGACAGAAACAATGCGTGAGTGGCACTTGCTGAGGGAAGGTACAATATGAGCCCTGCTCCGTTGAGCTTGGCAGCACCTACAGACTTAAGGAAAGTGGCACAATTTCTTCTCTTTGACCCATTGTGAGGAGAGGATCATAAAAGGAGGAGAAAAAGTGAGAGAGAGAGCAGATGATGAATAGGCAACAGTGAAGTTTCCTGCAGCTGCACTACCCCATTCAGCTCTTCACCCAAATTAGCTCTAATTGAAAAGGCTGCTTATTAACTCAGTAGGTATGAAGCAAACACATTCACCATGTTACATGCTCAAAACAGGGACCGCTGAGCCGGACACACACACGGTTCTTAAAAACGTATCCCACCGTTTCATTTAGGGGTAATTCTTGACTGACGTGGGCAGATGTTATGTGTGTTTACGGAGTGCATGGTGGCAGAGGTCATTTTGGAGGTCGTCTCGTAGCGATCGATTAGACAGCCTGTCGCATGAGCCCTGCCTGAGGTAATCACGCTGATGACTCATCTGCTGTTCCCCACAGTCAGGCTGAATCCCTGTCATATCCCGCTCTGCATTGCAGAGGCGGTTTAACCAGTGCAGGTTTGATTATCAGCTTGTATCAGATCCACAACTCAGACACTGCTCTGAATGGAGCAGCTTCTTTTGCCTTTAGGGAGGCACTGCAAAATGTCACATGACAGCGCAATCACAGCGTATTTGATGTTTAATATACAGTTAAGTGAAGAGGGAATCAGTCAGATTTCACTGTAGACAGGCAATTTCACTACTCATTGTCCTTTAGCTCATTGTTTGACGTGGTTAATTAAGAGATTATAAAGCAAAAGATGATCAGGATACAGATTTACAGATGTAGTGTTTTTGTTTTTAATCTGTCAAACGAAAA